TCCTGCCAGGGGACAAGCTGTGGTGGGCTGACCAGGCCTCCGAGAGGATGGGCACCTGCAACAAGAAGGACGGGACGGAGGTGACGGTGCTGCGCAACAGCACCACGCTGGTGATGCACATGAAGGTGTACGACGAGAGCATCCAGCAGGGTGAGCGGGGGGTCCTGGGGCAGAGACCCCACAGGGCCGGGCAGTGCTTGGCTGCTCTGTGGTGGCCGGGTGGCCCCATCCCTCAGAGCTGTGCCAAACCCAGCCTTTGCCCTCGTGCCACATCCTTGCTGGCCGGCACGGGGCACCCTCATCTCGTGTGGGCACTGCCTGGCCCAGCCCTGGCGGGTGCTCCCTGTCTCCCCACAGCCCCTCACCCCCTTCTCTTTGCCGCAGCCGGGACCAACCCCTGCAGCCAAAACAACGGGGACTGCTCTCAGCTCTGCCTGCCCACCTCCGAGAGCTCCCGCTCCTGCATGTGCACGGCGGGCTACAGCCTCAAGAGCGGGCAGCAGTCCTGCGAGGGTGAGTGTGCCTGTGCGGGGGGCACTGGGGACCAGGGGGGCACTGCGGGGCTCGGAGGGGCTGTGGGCTCAGGTGGCAGCAAGACCCTTGCAGGGACTGTCCCTGATGAGCAGGAGGGCACTGCTGCCCCCTGAGTGCGTCCTGGAGGAGGGGAGGGGGACAGCACGACGGGAGCCCCCCAAGGAGAGGTGGGACCCTCCCTGTGGGCAGCGGGTTTGGGTTCGGGAGCGGGGCTGGGCAGATCCCCCGTCCCTGCCGTGTTTGCCGCCGTCTCCCCGGGCACTGCCAGGGCCTCTCAAAGGCTGTTTGTGTGCAGAGTGTTCCGGGTGTTTTTGGAGGGGGCTGGCGGAGCTCTGCACCATCTGGGTCAGGGCAGGGGCTGAATAACAAGCACTGCCCTGACCCAGATGCGCCACAGAGCCTTTGCCAGCACAAAAGGGGGGTGGGGGGTGGTGAGAAGGGGCCTCGCTCGTGCTCCCCTGTGCCCTGGAGTGGGGCAGGACCCTGGAATGGGCTATGCCAGGGCTTCAGCCCCCAGGGAGGTCTGGGATGGGCCCACGGAACCCTGCCAGGCTCATTCTCCTCCACGGAGCAGCTGTCACAGTTTTCCATGGTGGAGGGACAGCCTGTGGGTTATGGGATGTCTGACTGTCCCCACACCTGTGTCACAGGTGTTGGCTCCTTCCTCCTGTACTCGGTCCACGAGGGGATCCGGGGCATTCCCCTGGACCCCAACGACAAGTCCGATGCTCTCGTGCCGGTGTCGGGAACCTCCCTGGCTGTGGGGATCGACTTCCACGCAGGTGATGCAGGGCTGGGAACAGGGGGAGCCTGAGGGATCCAGCTCCAGACCCCACTTTGGCAGAGCTCTGCCCCAGAACATCCCCCCTGGGCAGCGCTGGGTGAAGGAGGGTTTCGGGGCCCTGGGGTGCAGGTCTGTGCCACTCCTGGGTGACCCAGGGGCGATGTCTGACACCCCCCTCCCGCCTCCTCGTCCCTCTCAGAGAACGACACGATTTACTGGGTGGACATGGGCCTGAGCACCATCAGCCGGGCCAAGCGGGACCAGACGTGGCGCGAGGACGTGGTGACCAACGGCATCGGCCGCGTGGAGGGCATCGCCGTGGACTGGATCGCCGGTGGGAGGGGGCTCCGGGGCTG